TTAAGTGGAAGTTGAAGGTGCTTGGGATGAGAGTATTCGACCTGCAAGAATATATGTTTTATACTTCTGAGAATGTTGATCATTGACCTTAGCCATAAATTCAGTACATTAAGGTTTAAAGGTAACCTACGCAGGGAGAAAAACATGTTTGTGCCCTTTTTGATGAATAAAGAAAACCTGAAAAGGGTCCCTCCCCCCCGGGGCTAGTTTTTACTTTCAAAATGTTCGGACTACAGGGCAAGATTTTCAAAGCGTACCTCCACTTTTGGCTGCCTAACTGGAGGCACCTTAAAAGGCCCTAATTTTCACAATGTGCTGAATCCCCCTACCCCTCTGAAACTCAAGGCTCTTTAAGGTGTTTCAAGTTGGGCTCCCACAAATGGAGGAATCAAAAATCATCAATTGCTTTTGCAAATTTTGGCTGTAAAACTTTCCTGCTATTGCCGGAAGATTCAGTGGAATCCTTGAGAACCGGAGTGTGATATAGCTTAGCTGTCAAATGAAAGAGTGGAGTGTTGACACGTTCTCTCAGCTGTTTGCCAGGAGTTCTTTCTCAGTTATTCAGGTTTCATTTTCTTGTGATGCTCCACTAAACTCATTATTTTTTTCAGTTCTTCAGCAAATACAGAGAAGTCAAGACTTGATATGTCTAATGTAAAAACAAGCAGAAAAAAAAATCCTTTTTTGGGGTTGTGGGGGAGAAGAAAATTCCTCACCTTTCAAATCACAAAGAAGCAAATGGACACACCTTTAAAACTGACAGATGTCACAAATGGAGAAATCAAGATATTTTTCCCGTCATGAAACAATCCTGAGCATGAGGCTCTGGTTTTATAGTTTTTCTATATCCTCGTCCATATAAGTATGAATTTGCAAAAGAAAAAAAAAGATCAACTGCATCTTTGTAGGCTATATTATGTGATCACTTACCAGGCAGTAGATGTTTTCCAGTTGCTATCACTAAGGTCTAGATGCAAAGACTAGTATCCAGCTTGACATTTTACTATATTATAGCCTGCCATTCATTAACTAACGTGTTGTAAGCATCCTCTTAAAACAATGCTTCATAATTTCAGTTCCATTCTTTCGCTTTTCACACAGTCATATTAAAGGTTATAGCATGACACTAGGCCACGCCTTAAGGCCCAGAACTCAAAAGTAGCATCTACCCAGCGAAAAAGGGGATCCTTCATTCACCATGGATCCAAACTTTACCAGTGGTAGCCATACTAGAAACATTAAGACAGATAAAGGGTAGAGAAGCTCAGGCACATTCAAACATTTTTACTACTATGTCATTTAACCTTGCTCTGGGCAGATTTAGATGGTGGTAAAAATGCTTGGGTTCTACGGGTTCCACTGTTGCTACCACCAGTGATGCATCACTGGGCCCATTTCTACCAGTGTAGAAAAAAGAAAAAGAAAGTTTGGCGTCCCGACAGATGGCAGGATGGAAAACTCATTCTTCTAGGGTAGGTCAATGTTCTATACTATGAGACTAAAATGCTAGGCAAACAAATGGACAGACTCTACTGAGCTAGATAATTCTTTTCAGTGGTTTAGGGCTATTTATGTTTGAGTCTCAGAATTGAAAGTACACAGTGAAAAGTACCTCTCAGCAATTTTTAAAATTACAGATTGGATTCATTGTGCCAAAGCCTCAGCTAGTAAAAACTGGCATAGCTCCATGACATGCCAGTTTACACCAGCTGAGGTATAGTGCATAATATTCACTTTGATGCAACACACTCACGGCACATTACTCCTATGCATACAAAGCTATAAATGTCGTACAAATCCAACTTTCCTTTGTAAATTCAGCGGTCTGGTGTTCAGCTGAGTTTTGGGCATTAAAGTGTCAATGTTGATAGATTAACCCAGTAAAGTAACTGGCTCAGCATCATTCATTGATTAATCAGATGAAGTAATTGTGTATTGACTTAAAAAACCAGTATATTCCCCAGGAATTTCTACTGTAATGCTTTACTGTATTGATAGCTATGTGGTTACTCTAACATGTTACCATAGGAAATAACATAGAAAAACCATGCTTGATATACTATACTACCTTCTGGAACCACTTATTTCATGAAGTGGGTTTAACTATCACTCTATACCCCTTTTCTGGTTCTATTCTCTTTTTCTACAATTGTACAGACACCCTTAATGCAAACTCTAAAGATCTGTTATGCTCATTTGAAACATATTAATAAAAAGACAATTAACTTATTCAGGAATAATAGACAGCAAATGCTGCTTTGCATTCATTAGAGAACACTCCTGGAAGGTGCTTCCATAGACCGCGGAAAAGTTCTTAAGAGCTGGTCAGGGCCCTTATATAACTGAGCCCTTATTGAGAATGGCTTAATTTAAAAAAGAACTCATTGTTGCTTCTGAGCTCAGATGAACTAATTACAGTATGTTGGTTCCTTCAGTAATTTTGATAGGGCAGGCCACCTTCCATCTCCATATTACTCCATGGATCATGGGTGTAACCGGGAACAGAATTTAGCCTAATTCTGCGAACCAAGAAAAAACAGTGACTTGGAAATGTTTATACTCATGACCCTAATTCCCGCATTATGTTGCTATGCCATGCTCTGTTAAAAACGTTAATGGGAGCTATGCGTGTGAATTCCCCACGCCTCCATGGGGAGAACAGAGCTTTCTACATATTACATAGATTTAAAGCACGGTGTTCCATTCCCTCCCCCGTGCATTCAGGTTTGATTACAAGTTGAAATTACAGTTACATGAAATGCTGGTGTGCCAATGAAGACTAATGTGAAAAGGATGATTTCTTTGCTTTTTACTTGTTATTTTCCCAGCCCAATAAAAAGAGGTTTTAATATCAGTAAGTTACTATTAAGGAAGGTAGTCTTTGTTTGATACATCATTGCTCTTGTGTTACCCACAAAGCCCACTGAAATCTCACATGGGGGGGTCTATTCTGCCCTCAGTGCCATCACATAACTCCCATTAGAGTTTAATAGAATTTAACTTAGGCTTCTGCACTGAAAGTAAAATTCCCTTGGGCCCTCCACACCATTTAAGTCTCATACTGGGTTTGTGGCCCAGCCACAAAGTGCACCACAGCAGGGACCTCTGTGCCCACCTTGCGTAATCTAGCACAAAGAGTTATGATGGAGCGGATCAGGGTCAGAGTACTGGATACACGTTCATGTGACTCTGGTGCCTCCAATGTCCTGTGCAAGTAGTGTGGAGGGCTACAGCTGCTTCGCAAACTCAGAGGCTGATGTTTGGCTGTGGGGTGCATGGCCCTGGGTGAGGGCAGAATTTTACCTCCAACTTGCCCAACCTTCTCCTGCCTAGAGCCCATTAATTCAGGCTTTAGATAGGAGACTTGGATTCCTCTTGAAAGAGAAACTTATAGTTGAAAACATAATCCTTACCAAAAAAAAAGTTTTCAATTTTGATCAAGAATTTTAATTTACTACAAAACTCTGAAGTTCACCCAATTACCATTTATCCAGCTATTAAAAGAACATCTCTCCCCAAATGTTTCAATTATATTTACAACTGACCCTTGATGATATAGAGACCAATCCCTTCTTCCATAGAAGGCAATGTAAAATTCCCATTGACGTCAGCAGAAGTCAGGAATGGGGCCCATAATGAAACCTGACTGCTGTCTGGTTTCACCTGTTGGTAAAATTAAAGTGAGCTGGTTTTTGGAAAAGATTTTACTTAAAAGATCCCATATAAATAAAATTAATTTGCAGACAAAGTGGATTTAAAAACAAACAAATCCTTATTTAGGATCTGATCCAGTGCTCATTGAAGTCAGTGGAAAGACATCCATTTATTTCAGTCAGCTTTGGGTCAGGCCCTAAATTGCCTGGCAAATCTGTTGCTGTCTTACAATGCATGCAAATCCTACCACGGTACAGTAAGTGAAACAGTACTTACATGCCTACCAAACAGCATTTCTCAAGCAATTCAGCTATTTTTGCATAGTTGAAAACCATTCAAGAAGCCTGTGTATGCATGCAAGATATCCAGGTCTCAAACGCTTACAAAATCAACTGCCTCAAATTAAGAGCTACTTTGGAAGGCACGCCTGTCTTACTGCTAAGCTAGAAACAGACACACAAGTATACACTAAAGCAAAACAGAACCCAAAAGTTCAATCTGAACAGCAAAACTGTAGGATGCAGGTTTCAGGATATACATGGGAGAAGCAGGCACAAACCAGTTAAGTAAATATTGAATTCTGTGCATGAGTTTAAATGTCACATTTGGATAATGCACTTTTTGGACACTTATTACTGGATTTTTCTGTTTGGGCCAATTTGAACTGCCTACAAAGGAAATACTAGTATTCCAGTATGAATTGACTAGTTATACTGTACTTGTCAATTTATTTCAAGAGAATGGTATCTATACATCGGTCCCGCTTTGAGCAGGGGGTTGGACTAGATGATCTCCTGAGGTCACTTCCAACCCTGATATTCTATGATTCTAATATAAGAAGATTGTAGAGGGCTACAGGCAGTGGCGGATTAGCTCAGCTTGGGATCTGAAAAGTCAAACTGGGTTCGTCATCATAAACATTGTGATTCTAAAACTAGTATTTCCTTAACTATGCTGCCCAGAATGCATAACATAAAATAAGAATCCGGCTGCCACTGTTCAAATGTTCTTGAACTTGGAATACCATCCGGGGAAATACCATCCAGGGGAAAAGACCAACTTTAAGCAATGGTCATATTGTTAGTCACCTGTGAACAATATATGACTTGAAGCCTGAACAGCAAAAGCTCTAGTCTGGCTGAATTTTATTTATAGGACAAAATTTACAGGGCCAGAGTCAGCCATCCCACTGGATTCAGCGGGAACTGTACCCACATCAGTGCTAAATTGGAACCATCGTGAGGCAAGGTTTGCTGATCAAATATTATCTTTGTTTATTGAACCTTTCTTTGCTGTTCTGTGGTGGTAAAAATGATCTCAGAGACAAAAGCCATTTGCTATGAGCATCTTTCTTTCTTTCTTTCTTTCTATATAATACAAAACAGATGTGGTGCATTAAGGTACAGTTGTTCTCTTTAAAAACTTGCTGTTTTTTGCCTTGAATAAAATAACTACAATTACTTCAGTATTTGTAGGATTAACTAAACTTTCCTATTCTCATTACCTCAACTACTACAAATGCTGAGGCAAAGCTATCAAAATAACTAAGGCATCATCTAAGGCAACTGGCAAGTTTGTAAGGGTAACCATGGTATATTCAGCAGTAAGTTATAAGAAAGCAAAGTATTGTCAATGGCATAACTAGTTTTCTCATTCTCTCATCACCATGAGTTTATGTGATATTTCTAACCAGGTTGGGGATATGGAGATTGTGTGTTTTGCAGGAACAAAACCTCCCAGAGAAGTCAAAATAATAACTGATAAATCTTGTGAACTTGTTTTTGTGAATTTGTAAACAAAACAGACTTGTGATGACAGCACTGCAAACTTAGAGGAAGGTGGTGCATAAAGCTGTGGTACCCTGAAGCGAATTGCTGGTTCAGTCTGGGATGATTCAATTGCTCATTTTATGAAAGACAGACCTCGTGACACAGAATAACATGCTGCAAAATTCTTCAGCAGTGCTTTCCACGCTGAGCTGACCAAGCAGCAGAACATCAAAGAGTAAGGAGAAATATCATTAAGGGCCACCTACCCTGTAAGACTATAAGGCTATCACCTAACCATAATAAGGCCATTACCATCTAACTTCTTATTCCATTGAACTCCATAATTCTTATGTTTTGTTATTCTTTTTTGGCCTTTACATTTAAAAGTGCATGCACACTTTTACATTCTCCTGAGCTGTACACAGAAAACAAGCTGATATAAGTGTGAAACTGAGGATTGTGCGCAAACAAGATATGTGCATGTACAAATCCAGAACCTAAAAGCACACATTGGGTACAGCATGTGTAACTAGAAGCATAAAAAATGCACAAGCACTTGAAAAACGTTGAGCCTACAGGTTTCAGAGTAGCAGCTGTGCTAGTCTATATCCGCAAAAAGAAAAGGAGGACTTGTGGCACCTTAGAGACTAACTAAGTTATTTGAGCATAAGCTTTCGTGAGCTACAGCTCACTTCATCGGATGCATTCAGCCTATAGTGTCACATGAAAGGAAAAGTCCATTTTAGCAGTCTAGCTTAAAATTATGAGACGGCAGAAGCCATCTTGAATCTCTTCTCAGTAAAAGAAACAATAACAACTTTTTTGTTGACCTTTAACTTAATGTGATCTCTTAGTTTTCTGTAAATCTTTGATTTTTACATTTAACAATAATCAACACACCCACACAAAATCTTTGCTGCTAATGAGCATGGTTTGCAAGGACAGTGTTGTATTTTATTGTTAATAAGTAACCACTGTCTATAGAAATAAAGTGACATTTTAAAGGCTATATTTTATATCCTGTCTTTCTTGTGCAAATTAATTACAAACATTTAAAAACCTGGAGATTTCCTCAAATTGAAATTAGCAGAGGAAGCAGCAGTTGCATTTTAAAATAAATAACCTTTTGGTACTGGGGCCATTTTTTATTGCTGTTCAGAGAATCTAGGTGCTTCTCCACACTGCCCCGCAGTTTTCGCCTATGGGTGTGTGAATAGTAGTGCGCAACAAAGCGTTGTACTGTAACCCGCCCCTTCCTCCCCATCAGGCTGCCGCAGGAGTGAACTAAAAGGTTCCTAGCTCGCATTAATATAGGCCTCTTCCGACAGGACTACCTGAATGTCAGCTGGGAACCTTTTAGTTTGCATCCACACGGGGGAGTGACAGTGCAGCACTTCGGTGCACACTGCTATTCACACGTCCATAGTCCAAACTGCACGGCAGTGTACCTAAAGCCTAGGTCTAATGAAGGGGACCAATTTGAGAGCTCTAGAGACTGAACTCCTCTCTTTATTCACTGAAAGCAGCAGTACCATCTTCCCCACGCTGCTCTACAAATGTGCCTTTATCTTGACTGGAGAGAGCATTTGTCTTCCTCTATGGCCTCTCAATCCTATGTCTCTCTGCTGAGATTGTCAGTTATGATGTGGGTATGTTTCCGCAATAAACTAGACTGAGGTGAGACCAACTTTAAATCAGCAAATAGTAATGAACATTTTCAGTCACTATTGATTTGTGCTAGTTTCATCAATGCTCTTTTTACAAATTGCATTGAAAATTTACCGTCCTACCATTTCAGTGCTTGTGAAAGGTACTAGAGTAAGTACTTTGCTGAGTAAACTTCTTTCCTTATTCACAGAACAGGTATGGTACAGGCACCAGTAGAGACTTTCCCCACTCTGCCCCATACCAGAGTGCCTACATCCTGATCTGGTGTTACCATTGCTGGGGTGAAAGTATATTCTCCCCAGGTCCATTCAATCCTTGGCCTCAGTGCTGAGGTTGCCACGTACTTCTGTTATGTGGACTTTTCTCCACTAGGAACTGATCACTTCACAAAGGCTGATGAAGTCATGAGCTAGAAATGCCTTTTTGGTCATTGTTGAGCTTGGCCATAGTTGACCAGATGATCTAGTGGCAAGGTTGTGTGTCTCATTCCCAGTACCCTGAGCCATTCCCACCAATCCATTTTTAATACAACTTCTTACGTGTATGAAACAAATCAAATGGCTGAATGATTCATAAGATGAATGATGCGAAATTAGGCAGTATGAATTTATTAACATATTTCTTGTAGGTTTCTTTCTCTCTCCAGCCCTAGGCACAGTATGGCACAAAGCTAACAATGAGGTTCTTTCCTCCTAACTGATTAATGTTTGCTTGCAGTAGCTTGATTACATTATTAAAAGTCATAAATCTGCAAAATTAAAATGTCTCTTGAATTAATTAACTGCAAATCACCTTGAGTAACATTTGACAAGTTCCAAGGTGTTTCTGTAAAAATAGAAAAGTGGGGATCAATAGCATCAGCAAATACATGCTGGCACCATGAGTGTATTAATAGTGACGGGTGCCCTTGCTGCTGAGATAAAGAAGATTTTTTTATTGTTCACATAGCGCGGACTCTGGGCTAAACCCTGCCCTGACCAGGGCAGAGAGAGGAAGCACAGAGGAACGTCTTGTGTCATCAGTGAGATGTCTCCAGCTGGCCAGGGAAGTACTCCATGAGGAGTTTTGGGGCAGGGAATGAGCTATGAAATATACCTTGATTTTCCTAAGAGCAGGAGCAAAGTGTGCCTATGGCTAGTATTTGCTGCTGACCACAGCACATGCATTAACTGGCTGGAGGGGAAAAGGCTACCTAAAATGGACACCTCCATGCTTCTGTGTGTTATGGTGTGCAGGCTGGTGTGTTAGCCAGTTTTTCCCCTTGTGCTCTGTTGAGTTCTGCTGCAGAGATTCTGCCTCACATGTGTGTGCGTGAGAGGAGGTAGCGCGCCTCCTTCTTTTGCCCTTTTCCCTCCCTTGCATGTTACAGCAGTATTGGGCCACTTTCACCTTTCATATGTATATAATTCAGATCTCATTGGAAAGCTATCACATCTTTTCAACTCTGTCATTAATATGACCATTCAGATCTGGAACTCATAGGTATTGTACACATAAAACTCAATGCAGCAAAGCACTTAAGCATGCACTTAACTTTAAGCATGAGTTATCCCATACCTTCAAGAAGACAATAGGCCCACTCGTGTAAGGGCTTTCTTGATATACATAATGTAACTGCAGACTCAAGAGTCTTTAGTGAGCATGCCAGTGGTTTCCTCCTTAGCTTTATAATATGTGTTTTAATTCTCATCAAACAGGTTAAGACACGGGTGCACTGAAAATAATGCAGAATAAGAGAGAACAAAGACATGGCTCTTTGATATGTTAGTGACCTGTGGCTTAATTAAATTAGTTATACATAGATGCACTAGTAAGACATTAAAAATATTTTTGAAATATCCCCTAATGTGCACTTGTGTTGCATTTAAATTGGCAGATGTAACATTCCCTTAAAATATATGCATCTGATATTTTCCATACTACATAATGCATGGACTAGCTCCTCTCTCCTTTTAAAACATGTATATCTGGCAACAGTAGCTGCGTGACAACAAATCCTTATAGTATTCTGCAATCAAAATTAAACTAAAAACACACTGGGCCTCATTCACCACTGGTTACTCCAGTTATGCACTGTAGCTCTATTGATTTTAGTGGCATTCCAGGGGCATTTACTGGAGCAATGCAGTGGGGAATTGGGCCTCCTAATGTCTCTGCTGATATTTGTCCTGTTTTCTTTGACTAACCAAATTTAATATTTATATTTAGCACCTAATCCTGCAACCCCTGCATGGGAGTTGTGTGCATGGACAGCTTGCAAGAGTATTTATGATTCTTTCACTGTTTTCTACAGGTTAGTGTGCATTTTATTTTACTTAGCATTTTAGATGATTAACTATAACTGGAGGCATCTTCTATTCCCCATCTTTTTTATTAAACTACCAGCATTAGATATTGTACAACAGTCTCCCCAAAACACTAAAAGTGAACTTTGCTCTCTCTGTTGCAGTTATCACTTTATTATTCCTTATGATGATAGTTCACTAGACTTAGAATTTAATATAGATCAAAAACAACGAGCTGTCAGAGACTTAGGGCCTGAGTCTCATTTACATTCAGGCCCCCTTACACTGCATAAAACGGCCTTAGTGTAAATGAGAATCAGGCCCTGGATTCCCCCCCCCCCCACATATTCTACAGTTTGTAAAACAGAAATAATCATAATCATTAATAAGAAGACGATGATGTTGTAAATACAGAGGGAGAAATTCATCGCTGTGCAAAAGCCTGCACAAGGCATATGTATTATTTATGTTTGAGGCCTTAAGTGGCACTTAAGTAGTGCTCAGCCTTCTGTGGAACCCTCTGCACATGAGGGATTCTCACCCAAGCAGAACTGTTTTACTAAAGATTGATCAAAATCCCAGATTAATGTTTTTTAATAATTTAGCCTTGGAAGGCTCAGTATATTTTTTGACCCTCTCAACACACGGAAACACGAAATGCGCTACAAGAATAAATATGTGCAACTTTAAAGACACTGTAAGTTTGGCTGAGAGGTCTTTGCAATGTCTCTTGAAATCAAAAGCTTAGGATGGCTATTTGAACTTTCAAGGAAACCAATGATTTGTGAGGGCTTGTCTATACAGTGGGGTAATGCACTTTATGGGGGTGGGACGTCGCAAGCGCACTAACATGTTGTACATGAACTTGCCCATGGAGCCCCTGCCGGTGCACTTTTTACACAGTGTTGTTTGACACAGCATTACGATAAAGAGCGGAGGGACCCTTTATGTGCACCAGTAAGGGCTACACAGACCACTTAATGCACAACATTAAACCTCATAGAGTCCATTACCCTGCTGTGTAGACAAGCCCTGACATGTTTTCTCCCTTTCACATAGGCTTTGGATTCTAACCAGGGTGAGATCTTCAGATGGCATATGCCAGAAGCCACTGGAGCTATGCTAATGTGCACCGAAGTACTTTGTCTCTTTACACTTGTACAGCATTATTAGCAGCAGACTCATTTCCATTGTGAAAACTCTTTACTCTGTATTTTACTCTGTAACTTCTGCACTATTCTGTGTTAGGGGCCAATTCTGTTCTTAATGAAGTCAAATGAGACTTTGACGATTGACATCAGTCAGAGCAGGATTGAGCCCTAAAGGGCAACTTCTACTCTCAGTTGCACAGACTGTACACTGTTGGTGTGCAGACAGAATATTGCCACTAATGTATACATAATGCTTTCACATTTGTATTTAACATAATCTAAACATATAATGGCATTAGGATCTGCCAGATAACTAAATTCACAGTTACCATCATTTTAAATGTAGGGTGTGATCCAGCACGATTCTGAACACATCCTGCTGTGCGCTCAGCTCCTGCTGACTTCCCTGGGAATTGAGGGGGCTGAGCACTTCTCAGGATTGAGCAGTACTCTGGGACTGAATCTTTCAGACCTGATCCACAGGCCACTGAAATTAGCCAAACGCCTCCCACTGATTTCAGGGGAAGCTGGATAAGGTCCTTAGAGCTCAGGCAAAGGTAAGAGTCCTGGAGCATTAAAATTAGTTTGTTATGTCAAATGCTGAGGTCCAGGAGAAACATAAAATGTTTTCAGATGCTAGTTACCAACCAATTCATACCCTGTAGCTCTTCAGTTTGCCAGAAACACTTCAGTGACTTCCTATAGCACACGCTTGTGCTAGAGAGCGTTTTTACAGTGAGTAAAAAATACAACATCAAGGAAGAAAAAAAGAAGTGTAATTCTATTACAAATTCTTTGTGTAAATCTATTTCCATTGACAAATGTTCCCGTCCAACACTTTGGGAATTGCAGAACACAAAGTGTGTGTGTGTGTGTGTATACACTCGTTATCCCCACATGTATAATCCAAAAAAAAAAAATAATTTATACCTGTGTGTTTGATATAGCCCCAATGTGAGCCCATTGTTTGTGTAAGAAAAACAAACAAACAATCTTCATAAACAGTATCGTTCAGGGTAAATATTCAGGCCTATTTATTGCATACCCATGGAGTGAGTCATTAGCACGCAACTTCCACAGGCCATAGGCAGACTTCCCAGTGGAGCAGTGACTATTCCACATGCTGCACTAGACTGTACAGGGTCTGTTTACCTTTGAACCAGACCTTTCTAACCGCTGCCAGCAGAAGTGGGCACATTGTGGCTGGAGTGGAAGTACATCAGAGCTCCAGCTAACTTGTTCCACCTGCTGGAAATGCAGAACAGTTGCATAATAGCCACTGATTGGATCTGGAGGTTTTTTTGCTCCCAGACCATGGGTAACTGCCCATGGACTAAGAGACCAGAAGCAAATATCCCTGTCCAGGGGCTGAAGTAAGGGGATGCAATATACCTGTACAATTGAAGGGCATATCTGTTTTAGGCACAGCTAGTGCTCCGCTACTGTAGTTTCCACATGTATTAGCAGGTACATTTTAAATTGACCTTGTCCTAATCATTTCTGGAGAACAAAGTTTTGGCTAAGTGTTTTTTATGAATAGTGAATTGTTTTTATCTATTACATGCGAATTTTCTGTTATTTGGTAATTTATCTTACCAAATCCTAGCAACCCCCTAACCTCCAAATGTGATACCCACAACTCTTCTATAATATAGCTAAAATGCCTTGGTCCCAAAATTACCCCATACCATAATTTCTAGACGTGTGGATGGCACAAATTACTCCGTACACATGCTGGAGAATGCATCTTTCTGAGCCCGCAGAGCTTACCGACAGACGTCTCTTTCAGCCCCCTTGTGTCCCTCCATCAGCCAGATACTTATTTGTTTCAGAGTAGCAGCCGTGTTAGTCTGATGCATCCGATGAAGTGAGCTGTAGCTCACGAAAGCTTATGCTCAAATAAATTTGTTAGACTCTAAGGTGCTACAAGTACTCCTATTCTTTATACTTATTTGTGTATCTGGCATCTTCCCTCCAGGATCCAGACTAGACATGTGCCTTACTAGTGTGTACTAGATTTTCCCAGCACAAGTAAGTAAGTCCTAATAATGAAATCTAAAACATAACTGCAGGCTTGAACTCCAATATTTACATGAAGTTACTTTTGATAAATTTGTTAGTTCTGTTCCAGAGTAAACCGTACAATGTTAATTTGAAATGACTGAAGTTGGATAGACATTTTTCAAAGTCCACTTAACAGGAATAGATCAACAAATAAAAAAATGTCAACCAGACTAACTACAGCTATATTAGTGTCAGCACTGAAAAGAGAAAAATGAGTAGCATCACTAAATCTAGAGTGCAGTTTTCTGCCATAGTTGAGCGATATTAAGTCCTGATCCTGCTGTCATCAGAGTCCACAGCAAAGCTCCAGCTGACTTCAGGGTGGAGCTAATAATGCAGACTGAGGGCCTGATCCTGCAAATCCTTACCCAGAAAAGTCATCCTTACTCATGCAAATTGTCCACTGAAGTCAATGGCCCTAATTCTGATCTCTTTTACATCAATGCATATCAGGAGAAATTCCACTAAAGACAATGAGGTTACCACTGTAAAACAAGTGAGATCAGAATCAGGTCCAATGGGCTACAAAAGTCTTTGCAAAATATCAACATAGAATTTAATTCAGTGAGATTATTCCTATAAGGACGATTTGCATAAACAAGTTTTTGCAGGATCATGCCCTCAGTTCTACGGTGAAATTTGCGTTTGATTGAACAGGTAAATCATCTTGGAAACAGATCACTGCAGCAGTTTAGAAATGAGTAAAACTGATACAGAATTTCTCTAAAAATTTATTCATTCATACTAATTGCAGTAACCTGTTTAAAAAAAAAAACCAAAGTGAACACGAAGAAATATGGGAACAGTGCAAATGCAGAATTGCGTATTCAGATCTGACTGTTCTTAGATTTAAACTGATCTGTTCTCAGTTTAAATATTATCTGTTGTAGCAGAATGAAGAGGAAAGGATCCATATGTATAATAAACAGACATTTTTTCTATAACAATTGAGGATGAATTTCATAACATGTTGTTTATAGTGTATAAATGTATGTTTGCCACCTATTCCATTTGGCTTTCTGCTGAGAGCGCAGGCTTCATGTGAGTTAGCCTAATTGCTACAATTAGCAACATTTAAATGGCTCATTGTGTTTTTATATAATTCTTCCCACATTTTGTGCTGTTGTACTATAGAATTAGTAATTACAGTGTTGAGCCTGTTAATTCACGGGCACATGTTGTGATTATTTTCGTCATGCACCTTCTGCAGCAGCTCAGCCGAAATAAGCTTGTTCAGATGGATTCTTGTCTGTCCGTTCAGTTTGGATGAATGCAATTTACTCCGCTTCCTACCATGCACAGGGGCAACAGAGGCAGCACTCCAAACCCAGCACTCTGCTGAAGTCATTTCCTTGGCATTGTGCAGGCCAGTGCAAGAGGCGGGACAGTCACAGGGTAAATTGAGGCATCTCAGTCACATTGAACTGCACCACTTCAGAGAGTGAGCAGCAAAACAATAGCAACTTTGTTAGCTGAAGCAATGATGTAGCCAAATACCACTCCAGGAAGTGTGTTGGTTTTTTTTAAGGCTTTTGATGAGCTTCAAGGAAAGATGAACAATGAAGAATCACTTGAAAAGCTTTTTTAGAAACAAATAGGCAAATGGTGAATATTTATGATAACAATGAAAACTAAATATTTATATAACATACTGCATGTTAAAATGATAAAGAATCCCTTTTCAAAGATCAGTGTTAGTGCTTAAATGACTGGTTTGCAGTTATTTAAATGGTCTTTTCTGAAACATATAAACCCATAAACTTTAAAATGCCCATGTTTCAGGACAGTGTTTAAACTGCTCCATTTCATTTAGATCCACTGGTAAATGTGCACAGCTCACTAGACAAGGCTAATGTGAAATTAATTTCTAACACACAGAGACAGTACAATACTTTTCCTCCACCAGAGCATAATTTTGAGCTTTCATTTATTTATGTGTTTTATATCATTTTCCTGTTTTTCTGCAATGGAATGTTAAAGAATTGATTTTTGATTACTTCAAAAGCAAAAGCTTAAGTTTTAACATTTAGTTTTTTCTGTTGCCATCCTACTTGAACTTTATTGGTTAATCCTAAAACTATCATTTGTGGTAAAAAGAATAGTGCATGTCCATTATTAACTATTCGTAAGGCGTACTGAGGTTTCTGGAATGGGCTGTGTTTAACAGAGAGAACTCCTAAAAAAATGTTCTTACCACTATTTAGCTTGACTGTTCATGGCAAAACAGTCAGTCTATGTAGTTCATTGCAAAGATAGATTTTAATGTGTATTCTGATCGCTTTCCAACTATCAGTGATATTGACGAATGTGACAAATGAAGTTTTGGGGGATCAAAATTTTACTTACTATAAAATGCTTCTTTCTCCATGAACACAACTGGATTTATTTCTAGAGAGAGGCTATGCATGCTAGAAAAAAAAATGGTGGCAGACTAGAGAAACTGAACTCTAGAAAGTAAAAAACCCAAAGCAAAAATCTTGTGATGCGAAGTTTGGACTTTGACAAAGTTCCTTTAAACAAAGTGCTTCTGTAAGCCTCACCAAAACTTAGATTTAGGATTTGGAAAAGCACGGCACACTGTTTTCACATGTGCAGGTTTTTAATTATTCCAGTAGATGTCAATATCTAGTATCGTTTTCAAAAGACTTGGAACTAGATTCACAAGGGAGACTTAGGAGTTAAAATGCTCAGCATTGCAACACCTAACTTTTAGGCACCCTGCCACCTAGTGGAATGCACAATCCCACGGTAGGCACTTATTCAATGAATGGGGAGAGTTAGGTGCCTAAAGAAGAGATTAATAGAAGCCAGCAAGCAGAGCAGGGAGCTACCTAAGATAGCCAGAAGGAAAGGCTAAGGAGAGGGGTGGGGCTTCAGAGAGACTTAGGCACCTAACTCTGGGCAGGAGGAAGGTGCCTGTCTCCACTTGGGATTTACAACTGTGAGCCCTCTCCCTGAGTTAGGCACTTAAACCAGATTAGTCCTTTCTCAGGAATAACCCAGGAGGAGGGAAAGGTGGTGGAACAGCTCCAATAGAAGAAATTCACAGACTCATCCCAGAATACCCTATAGTCCAATGGTTAGGGCTCCCATCTGGAAGAGTGAAGACCTGTGTTCAAATCCCTGCTCTACAGCAGGTAGAGAAGGGATTTGAACCTTGGTCTCACACACGCAAAGTGAGCATGCTGACTACTGGTAAAAGTAAGGGGAACCATCTCCTCCACAGGTTGTCTTTTTTGTGAGGTTAGGCATACTCTGAACATGCCTACCAGCTTGAGTCAGCTGGGGAGAGCCTAGTTTATGAATCCCACTGGGGCTTATGATGCCAAGCTGCTTAGTGGTGTCAGAACTTAGGTGACTGTTTGCATGCCCAGCAGAAGAATGTGAGGGACCTCAGGGACTTTAATAGCTGAAATGTAGGTACTTAGGGATTTTAGCACCTGCAGGACTAAATGGTAGCTGAACTGTGGTTTTGTGAATGCCAGTGTGGCTTAAAGGCTGGACATAGCCATTGTGAATCTAGTCCCTGATGTTTCAGGTAAGAAAAACTTGGGCTGCTTGGTTTGTATAGACATCATTTCTTTTACGTGTTGATCTGGTGTGTGCTTATGGAATGAAAGCTCTATTGAATTTGATTAAACAAAGGACTTGATTCCCCAAAACTTTTTAATTGGTTGTAGCAGCAGTGTATTTTCTGACAAATTCAGAATAATGTCTATTGAATAATCAGGTGAACCCCTGTGGAAGGGGGAAATCACTTCTTATAAGATTTCATGTTCTAACTATCAAATGATCATTTCATTTAAAAATGACCATGCATGCAACTGGCTACTGCTTAATTTGCAAACATCTATGCAAATCTTCGAACTTGGGCAATTTTTCTGGTCACAGTAAAATTTTGCTATTTTTCTCTCCTGCAGATTCCTGCCCTTTCAGAGATATTTTGTTTTGAGGATCTTGCCCCTACCAAAGAACAACAGATTTTGAACATTTCAGCAATAAAAAAATTATGTAAGTACTGAAAATGGCTAATTGAATGTACACAAAGAAACCATATGCAATGTAACTTCTATTATTTCATATTACAAATATTATAACAGGAAAGACTAAACGTATCCAGGAACATATACAGCAGTGACTACACTTAATATACCTGACAGTGGTTAAAATATCAAAATCACAGCTCTTCTCCACTCTGACAATGCTGCTTAAAACAGTTGTGCTCCACTTTCCTAAAATGGATGGACATAGTTATACCGAGTTGTTTCTCATGGAAACCCTTTGGTGTCTTTATAACCCACCTATACTTGAAACAGGATTCACTTTTTATGGAATATTCTAAAAGTACCCATGTAGGCTTTCATATGGCATTACACTGCAAAATAAATCCATAATGTGTGAAAAACATGTTTACATCAATCTGTGGAGGCCAGTTGATATAATTTGTGGACCAGTTCTTAAATTCTATCTTATTAAAGAGAATGAGATGTATTAAAAGATTTGCGGTTTATAAAAAGTAACACCGTTATTATATACCATATTTTTACTTTACAAAAATATTGAAATAATCCATGAGTTATTCACTCTGCACCAGCTTTAAAAAAAATACTATCAAATTTTGACTTGCATCTTTAATGCAACTGAAAGCACCATCAGGGGATACTTTTAACAGAAAGAAGGTACCATTGACTTGATCATACCTAGGGAGGTATAGTATTTAAAACCCAGAAGCTTGCAGCAAAAACACTCATTTTACAAGTGAGTCAACATCATTTTTAGATAGATATGGAACCATGTCTTGAATAGTTTCAAGAGGGTCTTCCACATAGCTTGGTTTAATTGTACTTGACTGTATATACTTACTAACAGGTGGCTGAAAGCCTCTAAAAGACATCACTTTCACCTTGAGTGGGGGAAAAAAACAGAGCTGTCTGTACATGTGGAGAACTTGATTGTTCCTTCCTGCTTCCTGCTCTTGTAGGCCTCATGCCATTCATTTTCTGTCCCTCAGGCAACAATATCAATCTTGTAGTTATACAGTGTTTGGCACTAGAAGGATACGGCATGTTGCGTCTTTTATCACACCTGCATACATTCACACACAGAGCCATGCATTCTGAGTCCTGAAACAGATTTAAGTTACAATGTGTTCATATCCTGATGCTTTCCTCTCAGAATCTGAACATGGTCCTCAAAAGTTCAGAGTATGAAACCCACACTTTCCTTGTTCTTTCTTTTCCTTGTTCCAGTTTTTGCAAATTGAACACTGAATCATGATTATCATTTAATTTACATCACTAAGGGCTAGAGCTCCTTGTTCCTGCTGAAAGCCAGAGGTGAGCTGCATAGGATTTCTGTCAAAAGTAACTGAAATTTTAATTAAAATGAATCTTGAATTCTATAGAAAACTAGCAGTTCTGTTGGTACTAATGCTTATTACCTGATTAATCAGACTCTAGTTTACTCTCCTTTGATAGGCTTGCAAACATGACAGTGTACTTTTTTGATTGAGAACTATTTTGCAAATCTATTCTAAACTGAATGGTGTATCAGCTGGAGATTTAAGGATTATACTCCTATCATTTTTGCAGAAACCAGAGTTTCTATAACAGCAACATTGCCTGGTACAGCTAAGCTATTTTGACAATTTTTTTGTCATTAAATAAGCAAATATCAATCACTCATTTCTAAAGTAAAATGCACTACTGGTTAAAGTTGAAAGCTCTCATCAGAATCTTCCTGTTGATCGTAAGTATTGTGTAGCAGAGTTTCATAGCAGCAAGGAGTCATGAGCTGGGTCTATTTCCCTGCTGAAGTAATAGGTTTTTTGAGGCTCTCAGGTGATGCTGCTTTATAAGTGAACTGCAGACAGACTGCAGACAGAGGATCAAATGATAATCATGATGATAGCCAGACTATGAAAACTACCACTTGCTGCTCTGTTGTAGTATGCAATTTAGTTATTGCCACAGCCCTACTGTCAACCCTTAATTTGGACTGTAACTTTGTAGCTTCCTCAAGTCTTTATTATTTTTTATAAAGTGGTTTCATATTCCAAGCGCTCCTGAATAAGGGCATCGTCTTTATACTGTAGCCGTGGAGGAGCGGGGGAACATTCAAAAGCTAAGATAGCCTTCCTCAGGCTTCTGTCCAACACGTGTCTCTCCCAGGCTGGGTATCTGTTCCTGAACAGATCAATTTTAATGACTGACTCTTCAATCCTTGGCGGCCGGGATGAAGGTGTTGAAGGTGCAGTGGGCCTTACCTGGAAGACAGGCACGCACCCATCCCTCTCTGCCAATTTCTGATCCCGATCACTTGTGACACTCCGATTGTTAGAGATAGACCTTAGAGTGTTTGTTGCCACTTCTGGGGGCATGGTGAAGGCAGCGACAGGGTCCTCACAAGCACAGCTTGGCGACTGCCCAAATCTTGGTCCATTGGGATGAAAGAAGGCATAGTACATCAGCATAAAAACAATGCCAGTTAAAAAGCTGCTGAACACCACACACAGTGCTGGTATGGCGAAAGCATCAGAGATCAGTGGGGCCTTGTACAGATACCAGAGAGCACTCAAGGCAGTGTTTTCCAAAAGGATCACAAAATAGTATATGAAGAGCCTGCAACGTGTCCTTCCTTCCTTGACATTGAACCAGCTAAAGATATAGATAATCCCAACAACCATATCAAACACTATCTCTTCCCATTTAGTGATACAGAACTCTGTTTCACAATGGACGATCCAGAAGGTCATGATACACCAGTGGAGGACTATGAAGATCCCAAAGTACAGCTGGAAAACTGAGGCAAAGAGAGCAAAAGTAATGACCCTAGCTGCAATTGTGAAGAAATGCCAGCAAAACTGGATTATAACAGCCATATAACTGATGGGTTTCTTGTCATCGCGGGAGTCACGAAGGGCTTTCTGGTAGGAAGCCAAAGCCCAAGCCAGGGACACAAGAGATGCTGCAGCTGTAAGACCTAGAAAAAATAGGAGATGCAGTAAAGGGTTAATTAGTGCATTAGAACTTGGTTGGAGCCAGTGAAAATACAGCAGAACCTCCATAATCACATTGTGCTAAACTGCACTCTTCATAATTAACACAAGAAATTCAAATGGTATCCCAATTGCTCAACAGTCAGTTAGGGACAGAGCTCATATTACTGAGATTTCATGTTTTTACAAAGTGGACTGCATTATAGTTGCTTGTGTACCATCACATGTTACAATGAGTGCAATTAAACTAGAGTTGACAACCTAAACAAAAAATATCCTGTGACACATTATCTTTGCCTTTCCAACATGTCTGGTGACTTGCTAATTCACAAAATTCAGTGATTTGCAATAGAGCTCTTTGTCACCCTTCCCCTCTTCCACGGCCACCTCTGCTTTGTCCACAGCTTATCTAGTTACTCTCTCCTCCCCTCTCTCCTTTGTGCTTCTTTTCCTAGGTCACTGTCCCCATTTCATGCTTTCTTCTCACATAGTCAGTGCTCCTTCTACCTGACCCCTTTATCCCTTACTTTTCTTCCTACTCCGATCTCTCCGCTCTTGTAATTCTGTTCTTTGTTCTATGTTGTAGAAGTGCCATCTCAGATCAGTCCTCCACTCTGTATGATGTGAAGTGTGGGGAGCTGAGTGCCAATCACAGAAGCGCTCCTTCAGTTCTGTGATGATCATGGAGTCTAAAGATGGGGAAAGTCCCACTTGGCCGTCAAGTTTCTCCCTTTCTAGTATTTTGTCCTGCCTCGTTGTGTCAGGTGGTGGCTCCTCTGTCCCATCCTTTATCAAATTGTTTGATGGGTTAATATATCTGACTGAGACTTTCTTGGTAGCCTAAATATCTCTTTTAAAATTTCATCACATCCATCCTAGTCATACTGACTTAATATACTACATTTTTCCTCTTTCTTCTAGGTGTAAACATCCACCAAGCATTCATAGACCGTTATTGTGCCCTTTAGTCATTGCTTAGTCAAACTACATTTTTTTTATCTGTCAGTCTTTTATCACAATTCAGCCAGTCCAACAACCTGACAATTGGTTATTCTTCTCAACTTCTACTGTCATGGATAATGGGACACTTGAACGGCATAATCTTCTTGTGCTCTGAAGATTCATCTTTGCACCCTGTGTCTACTCTCTCTTTCCTGATTTTGAGAAGTACTGCCTCCAGAACAGTCCCAGAATCAATCAGCATTTTCCAGTTTAGAGGTATCAGGATAGCTGACCTAAGCAAGACCCTCTGAACAACATCACTTTTTCCTGCCACCTTGAGTCATTGTAGGTAGAATGAATAAAAGTCTTTCTAGGACAGTGACAGGTCCTCTGAGATACTGTATTAAACTACTCTGAAAAAGTGTGTCTGCTGTAAATAGAGTATAATGCTGTCATTGTGTAGTATAAGGAACATATGGGAGGGAACTTTCAAAAATCAGCCTTTAAACTTGCCTCTCCAAAACTACAATGCAAGTGTTGAGGCATTCACTGGTTTGTGCATACATGCTGCAATAACATGCACATAATGGACTCTGAATTCATGCTAAAACTTATATGGTGTTTAGGAATCAAAGACATTATTATTATGAACAGGAGTCAATATAACATTTGTATAACTCTGCTTAATGGAGGAAAAACCAGAGCTGTTTATAGTGGGTTTTATTTGTTTAGTACATGATGTTATTTGCTTCTAAGGTTCTGCAGCATCACAGTTCTCATGTCTTTCTGCTGTATCTCTTCAAAGAACTTCAAACACCTTTTTCATACTATTGATTCTCTTGCAATCTGAATATACCTCTCAGTTGGTAAAAATTGGAATATAAGTGACTTAATAGATAAATGGAGCTCCTTGACCCACAACTGAGATTGTGCAAGAGGGTTTTGGAAGCCAGGGAATGATCAGATCAGTTTGGAAACAGGAGCTAAGGAGAGGCCAGTGACTAAATATTAGGAGAGGAACCATGGTACTAGCTGCATAAAATTCACTCTTGACCTACGTGCTCTCACGCAAGTAACAGAATACACTTCCTAGTAAACAGATGGTGGAAAGATTAACCTTATACTGTCAATACCTTATAACCTAACTTATACTCTAATTTTCCACCTGGTTTCGGTTGTTTCATTAACACTTAGCTTGTGACCAGTTGGAGTTATTATTAGGGTGGGGAGATATTTGTTATAATACATTGTGACATGTTTCTGTTAGGGCTGTCAATTACAAATAATTAATTGCAAGATTAAAGAAACTAATCATGATTAATTGCAGTTTTAATCACACTGTTAATATTAGAATACCATTTATTTAAATATTTTTGGGCATTTTCTATATTTTCAAATATAGGGTCACAGCTGGGGGCTCTGGGTTTCAGCCTTGCTCAGGGCTTCAGCGGCTCTCAGGGCAAAGGGCTCCAGCCACCCTGCTGCCCAGGGAGCGGCGGCCTGGGGCTGCTTCAGCCCCTCTACTGCCAATGCCTCGTGCCCCATCCACAGGTATGCAATTAACATGTTAATTTTGCATTCAGTTAATCGCAGGCATTAACTGTGATTAATTGACAGCCCTAGTTTCCATAATTCTTACTTTTGATCAGCTTGAAGTACTCAAAACTGTACAGGCCCCAACTTTTACACAAACTGCCCTGCAAAACTCTTGTCTGAATGTCTAATTTGGACATTCAGAATTTCACCTGGGAGAATCAGGGCAGCAGCCATCTTGGACAATTTTAGTTTGTGGCGAGAGGTCATGACCACATCATGTGCCCAGACTTGCACCAAATAGGTTGGGACAGAGGCAGCCAAGGATGATGTATGCATGCTGAAATGACCTCTAGCAAAGAACAGCTCAGTAGCGAGCTCTGTGCCCCAAAGATTCTACACCACAAGGTCCAGTCATAGTGGAGCACTAATCTCAAGTTCAAAGATGATGGTGGGTGCACAAGGAGTGACAGCGTCTGCTGGGTCTTTCTTACAGAGAGAACAGGCAGCAGCACTTTCCTATCACTTTGGAACTTCTCTCAGTCAGCGTGGCTGGGGGTTTGAATGACGGCATGCTCGAATTATAGGCCAGAAGACACAGGACCATTCTGCCACTGTACAGCAGAACCAGCTTTGCCTACGGTGCAAGGGGTCAGGATAGCCATGAAGCAGAAAACCGCCATTGTGGGCACTCTTTATGCTGCAGTGAAAACAGTGGGCTTCTAATCTGACCCTACCAGTGATCCTCAGTGGGAGAGATGGGAGCCAGTAGAAGAGCAATGTGACTTTAAACCAAAATTTGCATAGACAAAATGAGGAAAGGGAGTCTGAGGTTGTAGACACAATGTATGTTTTTAAGGTGTGACAGCAGATAAGCCAGCGTGTTTCTTTCAAAGCAGATAAGCCAGCGTGTTTCTTTCAAAGCCCCTACAGCGGGTCCAAGTCTCATCACTGGTACTGTCTAACAAGGGGACCAAAATAAAAAGTCCAAACCATGCTAGAAAACAAATCAACTACAGGTTAAATATAGTAAATCACTAGCACTATACTAATAACAGCAGCCATTAATAAAGTGATGGGAAACTATGGAAGAAAGAGCTCCGAAAAGTAACTCTAAACCCATGGAAGAGCCCAGTAGACCAACAGTCTTCTTTCACGGACCTCTCTGGTGTTGTCCTCATGAAGAGAGAGACCACTGACCAGCTCTCTGGCTTTGGTGGATGGGTTGCTCTCGCTGCAAATGTTTTTTGGGGTTGCTGTTCCTCTTAAAATCTTTATAGTCTTTGGCATGTGTAACAATACATGGCCTCCATTCACAATGCAGTAAGAAGTATATTCCAGCCACGCCAGAAGAAATACCAGATCCAATGGATATGGTTTAATTAGGCCGCAACTTTATTCACATAAAATATCTGGAAGTACCTGGCAATACAGTGCAGGTCAGAGCCCTTTCCTTTATTATTTCCACAAAATCCACAACCTGGTCCCAGCTGTCCCTTACCTGGGACCCCATCGCCCTCCCTTGTATAAGGTTTATGGGGGCTTTATAAAAGGAGGGGCGACTCCCTGCTGTTCCAGTTGTGGGAGCTCCAAACCTTCCTTCCTCGGCTCCCTTATGGGATGCTTTCTTTTAAATCCTCTTCCAATCCATTTTAGCCAATAACCATATCCTTTCCACAATGAGTACCTGCACTGGACATGTGCCACAAGGAGGTGCCAGCAATTTAGTTTGGCTGGCTCACTCACCAGGTTCCCGGATATTTACTGATTCCTTACTTAATATTGGACACAAATATATCTGCTCCCTCATTGGATGGGTGTTTCCCATCCTCCCTGAATAACCTGGGTGTCCAGTAAGATATGTCGAGATGAGGAATTGCTTAACCCTCCTTGGTTACATATGAATCTAGCTACCTCCCTCTTCATGTGGCCCCCTACCCTATCAACCTGAGGAGGTTCCATGGCTCCCCACCATACCTTTCATTGCAACACTTCAAACCAAATAATGAACCCCCAAGAAAAATCACGGCTCTCCCCAAATCTTCCTTAGCTCTGATCATCAATTCAGTCCCCTTACACATTCCTAAATTGTTTTCACTGAGGTGAAAAAATAAATCCCATCCAATGTTTGCTAAAGATGGTACAAGGACCCTCAGCTGTTCCCAGAGCATGCTGCTCCTTGATCCATTCCTTTGCTCCCTCCATCCATGCCAACTCAGAGCTGTCTCAACACTGAGCCCCAGCAGTGAAACTATGGGCCAAATGCATACTATTATGCCCACACATTTGGGTACAAATTCCTGTGCCTGTTCACATGAGCCTGAAGGCAGGAATAAACACTATGAGTTTTGCACATAAAAATCTCAGAATTCCCCTCCTTATCAGAAGGTTCTAACCATGTATATATTTAGATGTCACCTACTGATATGCCTGATTTGTTGGGCTCCCATTTGTAGCCTTTTATTTTATTTAAAGTGAATTTAGTAATGTGGTATTATACCTTCCTGGG